TATCGTAAAATATATGTTAAAATTAGAAGTGCCTAGTAAACATATCCTATCAACCCTTTCAGCCGGCTGCGTGTGAGAGAGAGAGCGAGAGAGTACGGATGAAAGGATAGACGGCAGCAGTGCATATATTGTGTGTTTTCGGCAATCAGCAGAGCGTCCCGTTGCGCAATCATGCGTGTACGTATCGCAAGATCACTGTGTGAGATGGATGTCCGGACGCGTAGCCTGGCGGCTCCTCGTCCGGAACTGGTCGCGTAGCCACGGCCTATATATTATTAAGTTAATAATTAAACATTCTATTTTCTGCCTGACGAAGAAACGTGAGTCTCGAAAGCTCCTGGATTTTCTTAAATAGAGGTACAGAGATTGACACCCTAAATTGTTATTCATTGTTGCTTTCTATCTATCTATCTCTATATATAACTTTGGCCTAGAGTAGTGATAAAATAAAAAGTGTAAAGAGTAATCTATAGTATATGTAGACTTTGTCCGCAAATGCAGACGTCATAACTCCGCTTTGCTAATCTGAGGGTGCGGGTTTAACTGGGGTGTTACTAACCATTACTGGGGTCTGCGTCGGCTCAGACTAATGTAGACTAAGCTTGTTAGCTTGTCACTGGCTGAATCACCTGAATATCACTAGCTGCTGTGATCTGCATAACCATAGGAAGTTCTACCAGACTGGGTTTCATCCTTCAAAAGTACCCGAGTAAAGACATAAGTTATATAATGACGTTATAGTGAAATAAAGGGATAATTTGATAAATTGGATTAACTTTGTATTTTACCCATTACCCCTAATGCTGAAGTAGTAGTGATACCCGTATATTACGTATACACAAAGTGTACCAGACTTGTACTACAGTGTACCCTAACCCTAACCTAGTCCGAGATTCCTCTGACCAATGCCCACACCGACGATTTTGGTGGTTTTGGTGTGGGTTAGCGGTTGAGGTTTTGGTGTGGGTTAGCGTTTGAGGTTTGGGTTCCTCTAACCCACAACAAAACCACCAAAATCGTCGGTGTGGGAATTGGTCAGAGGAATCTCGGACTAACCCTAACCCTAAACACAGGATACATTTATGAGTGAGAAGATACAGGTCTGGTATACATATACGTACCTCGGGTACATGTGGTGATCCTGATACGACAACGACCCTTTCAGCACCACTACTGCACTAGTCTTAGACTTACACCTCTTGAATGTGAGACATCTGTGTGAATGTTATTTCTACTGGTAGTTCTATATTCTCCCACTACGTGGTGTGCGTGCTGGTAAGTGGGCAACTTCCGGCTGGTAGTGGCGTAGACTGGTACCCGTTCGCCACCTTCACTCCGGCAAGCGGCAAGTATCCTTCGCTACACTGACTGCTAGCTACGCTGCGCTGCTGTTAGTGTAGCGTGTGGAACTGTCGACCGGGTACCAGTCTAGAAGTGGCGGTGCGGATCTGAAAACAATATATACATTGTGTATACAATGTAAATACAATGTATTGTAACTACATGTAATTGTTTTTACATGTAATTGTATACATGTAATTGCACCATAGAGTTGTATAATAGTTATTATATTATTATACAACTCTATGAATTGCACCTACATACCTATGGTACATACAATGTAGACCTCTGCTCTGACTTCTATTTTTTAGAGACACGGGTGCAACGTGGGAAATGTCGTATTCTCCCTTTATGTTTATTTTCCCAGAAATCCATTCGGAAGGCAGCAGCCGGAAGTGTGAATTGACGAAAATATTGCTCTCAAAATTTGCAAGTCTCATACATTAAAATGGTAAGATTAAGCCCGTTTTCATAGTTATCACCAAACAAATAAACGTAGGCAGTGGTAATGAATACATTCTACTAACGTGTAAATTTATTGGCATTTTCTTTTCTTCCAGTCGGCGCTTACAGAAGACCAAATTGCTGGTAAGTACTAAGTACTAGCTACCCTGGTACCCGGTACGTCATAAGGTTTAAAACTTGACAAACTCACTATTCAGTACTACTAAAACGACCAAGTGACAAACAGATGATTAAAAGGACACAAAACGCACTTAAACTAAAAGAAGCACCTTAAATTAGTAAAACCTTCTGAAATTGAGGTACACTGGTCCAAGGGCGGGGTTTGACTTTTCGAACTAAATCGAACCTTGTCCTCGCACAAGATTGATTTCTACATTCACGCTTGTTTAATTTATAATTAATAAGTGTGTATGGTATTTGTTACTGTTAGACAGAAAGGAGACTGATAGCTTCATTACTACGTTCAGTGTTCATTATAGTTTATACAATCTGTCAATCATCTGTCCTGAGCGTGATCATTGCATTCGAAACGTGCCATCTTCAAAAGATCCCTTTAAGTTTAGCTTCTTTGTTTTCATCATTCTGTATTGGAATTCCCTCCCACGTTGGTTAATTGCATATCTGAGGCGTTTTCTACTGCGATCCACTATGTTGATCTGTCTATTTGATCAACTTTCCCTTTTTCCGTCTTCGATATAGTCCCTTGGGCTTTGAAGACTAATATTTATGAGGTTATGAGGAGTGTGTGTCATTAATCAGGCACTAGTGGAGAGTGACCTAAAATACTGCCACGAGGAATACTAAGTGTATGAATTAAATAATTAAATTTAAAGTTCAATTAATTTACATCTTGTATTTATCTATCTATTAGAGTCTTGTTTGACTATTTAAAGGGATACTTCCTCTAGAATTTTAGAGTATATTATGATAGTAACTGCTTAAATAATAGCATACACCTACAAATTTCTATAATTACGCATTCACATTTGTCATAAAATAATATTGAATTTCAAAATCTTCATTTTTGGGCGCTGACATGACCCGCGATTGTGCTGCCACCCTGAAAAAGTTGTGCATTTGTCAATTTATTTTGCACGTTACAGTATGAGGGCTAATTACAAAAGTGCAATTATATTTATACCTAAGGCCATGAGAATAGAGGTGTGAGTTTACCGTCCACCGCCCGCATGCCGTCAGAGCCACCGCTGAAAAGATAAATTATATATTTATATATATAAAAAAAACGCTGCCGCCATTTTTAAATCATTAAAACCCAAGTTGTCCATTCAGAGCGATTAAAACATACATTACCAATACAAAAACGCTATAGGGCCTATTTACATCCTTCATTGGGGTCCTGATCCCCCCCTCTGCTCTTTGATACCTTGGTTGGTTTTTGTTTTAGGCGGCAAAAGCTATGCCCTGACTAAAGTACTGCAGCTACACTGCGACTTACAGTGCTCGCATATCCCGGAAAAACGTGCCAGGTCTACACAGTTGGATAATGGTAACTCACCACTATTGAAATGAGATCAATGAGAAATGAAAAACAAAAAAGCCTCCTCACTTTTTCAAAATATCTCAGGACGTAAAAACTCATACCTCAATTCTCCATGGCCTAAAATGCTAATTTAAGCCGACACATATATTATTAGGACAAATATTCGTCCATATATAACTGAAACTAAGTGTGTTTTTAAGATATTGTCAATCCTTCTGGCTTCTATAGATTCAATAAATAGAGAAACACCCTCAAGTACCGTAACGCCTGCAGCCGAAAAGTGCTATTGCGCAAACTTTTTCTGTGATGCGCTGCCAGTGGCATATGCTCCTTCGGTTGTAAGCAACGGTATAGGCTGTTAGTTTTGAAAAGCTATTTTAACATCCAACAAAGGAGGTTTATTTTTGCGCGCGCCCGCTGCAGTTATGTTTTTAGCTCATCTGCAAGTCAAGAATGCAGCTGTTAGAATCGCATGATTGTTGCCGTGCGTGGCGTCGAGGCCGTAGTCCGCGTGCTTACCGCCTGTTGCGTGGGGGATCAATGGCACACAAATGCCATGTGAAAAAATGAAGCTATCTGGGGTGTCACGATATTCGGGACGTCGGGGGGGGGGCCGTCGCGAACAAACAGGACTAGCCGCGGAGTGACCAGACAGAGTCCAGTGTCTATATATGAGGGACGATAAGTCTGAGATAAGACTTGATTAAGAACGAATAGTAAGCGGGGCACGCGAAGCAGCGCCCATACATCTATATATGACTAAGGGGAGAGCAAATACGTCGCGAAAGCACAATACGCTGAGACGACAACGACCCCTATCGCTCTATAATCATTCCGTGTATAGTGTGACTGGGCTAGAAAACTCCATCACCAGTGGAAATTGGAGGTCACAGTCAAAGGGCATGGGGAAAGGTCAATATCCAGACATTTTCTGAGACATGGCCTAATGGACAAGTGTAAAACTTGTTTTGTTCAGTGCTGACGTCTAATCCATTTTAAATCACTTTATTGAAAGGCGCCATGAAATGTGCTTTCCAAACTGACGTGCGAAGAGTAAGTGAATCTGATGAACCTATAATACCTCTCAAGAGGAGGGTTAAACGATGGATTCCTGAGACGACTGCCTCAATGATGTCACACGGTTCCTATATTCATGCACATCCATAATCTAGAAAGACTACTGTGCCTGGATTAGCCCAACGGGTTACAGCACAGATTATGCGTCAAAGCGTCCTTGGGACTCGAATCCCAATCAGTTTTTTATTATTTACCTGTTTCTTGTATTTTTCTATCTTTATCTAGTTTAACTTATTTTTCCAATTAACGGCAAATTATTTTACATGTATTTATTACATCCGAATTGTAATAAGCAACAATAAATTATTTTTTTTTTTAATAGGGTTATGCTAGCCGTCCAGGCTCGAATTAAGTGATGAGAAGGGCAAGCCAATTTTTTTAGGGCATGTGAGAAATTGCCATTGAATTTTCTCTAAATGGAAGGGCCACAGAGGCAATTTTAAAAAGCACGCAAGCAAACTCTCAAAAATTTGAGAAGGACAAACGGACTTTTGTAAAATAAACGAAAAACTCATAACAAATTATTACATCAACATCGTCTTGCTTTTAATGTACAAAACAATATGCCCCCATGTAAGCTTACACTACGCGTAACACCGACCCCTGTATACCCCCCCCCCGCCGCTAATGGAAGTACAGTAACAAGACATTTTACATGCCCGCTATCAGGAGCGAACAATTATCCGATTGCTGTTATTATTCCCTCCTGCGACTATCGGTTTTAAGCCTCATCATTGCAACTACAGCACGCACCGCGCACGTGTTATATTGACTCGACTAAAAACGAAACTAGAGGCAGTAGATTAAAGGGCAGCCGACGGCAATTACACAAAAGGGCAAGGCAGGTGACTGCCGTCGGTCGGGTTGGATCGTTCAGCCGG